CTGAAATAGAAGCCTGGAAAAACCGGTAGCAAATCACTTCCATAAAGGAAAGGGTGTCCTCGTGGGCAACTGGGAAGTCACTTCAGACCAGCCCTACCACAGATACATGAAGCTAATCTCTCTGAGTATCATCTGTTTCCAATCCACAAAATTTGAAAGCTATTTCTCCCTTTATGGGTGTATGGAGGCAAGAGGTTTTGACTATTTCATGGAGTGCTTATATTACTACTATTACTTAATTTATTTCAGAGCTATCTGTGTATGGCCCTCTGCACATGGGGCCTGTGTGCTTCCCATGTCCGTAGACTGGGAATTGTGAAATCCTGCGGCCTGCTTGGTAGCTCACCTTTCTCTGTTTCTGTTATAAAAAAAAAAACTCATTTTGCTTGGATTACTTAGGAGGTTCATTGTTAATGGGGCTCATAGAGGCACAAAATGATTTCCTCCAAAGCACAGAGCTGTAGTTCAAACTGCGTTAACATTTTATTTAGGAATCTCCAACCCTTAACTCAGCATTTTTGTCTTTAGGGTCCCGCACAAAACTGTGGTAAGTCATGACCCTCTAGGACAGCTTGTGATGCCTGTGGAGTTGCACAAGCAGAGGGCTTTACAGGCCAGCCTGGCACACGCTGCTGGCCCTGTTCCCAAAGCTGTGCCCACCCTGTCACCATGGGGGCAAGCACAGCTCCCAGCACAGCTCCCACTGTGAAACAAAATCCAGCCGCTGCTCTGGGCTGACTCTGTTCCTAATTGCCACATAGTACTCGTGGCACCACTTAAAAAAAAAAAAAAAGAGAGAGAGAGAGAAGGAAAAATAATGGGAACCTACCCCCTCCAATTATTTTAATATTTCATATTGCAGCATTTCCCTGAGGGAAGCATTTCAGACGGGAAAACAACGACAGAGTGTCTATGGACAGCAATATCCCCGTTTAAAAAGCAGACAAACAACATTATTAAGGGGCTTCCTCGGCGCTGGGGAGGCAGTGGCCAAACAGCGGGCTGCTACGCAGAGCAACGGCCGCGCCGGGCGCCCGGGAGCGGCCCTTGAGCGGGCGGGAGCGACCGCTGGGCTCACGGGGCGGCCGCTGGTCGCGCAGGAG